AGCTCTGTCTCCTCGGGTACCCTGGGTAGGGCACCCGGCAGCTTTTGGAACAGCCTGGCACTGAGCTGGGATCTGGATACACATCTGGCATTGGTGCTGGAAAGGGTTGCAAAGGGGTAAGGCTGGTGAAAAGGTGCAATAGTTTGGGTGTTTTTAAATTTGCTAGGAAAGGTATAATGAAGCCTAGTTAAGGACATGCGGAGCCTTAATGAGAGCGGGTGAAAACTGAAGAAGAAATGTTTCATTGTAGTTAGTGCAATTACCTGTTGGGGAGCAGTGGATGCCTTGTCATTTTAAGTCTTTGCATCAAACAGGCTATTTCTTCTCACAAGACACCCTGCCCTGTCCAGGAGCCCTGGTGTCACCGTGGAAAAGGTCTTTGACTTGTGCTAGGGTGGAGGGGAGCACCATCCTCAGCCCCAGCCCTACGGCCAGCGAGGTGTGGAGCTGAGCCCAGAGCCTGGGTGTCAGCAGGTCTGTCCAGCCACAGACATTATCCCTGTTACAAGCTTAAACAAATGGCTTCAGAGCAGCACCTTTAGCTACATAAGCCAGTTCCTGAGGAAGGAAATAGCTGGATATTTTTAATTGGAAAAGCTTTAAATAGGAAAACTCCTTTGACTTGTGTCAGTGAGGGTGGTGCCTGTGAAAGTGGCGGGCTATGCTGGTGGAGATACGGGACTGCAGATACCATTGGATACATAACAGGCTGGCCTGCAGATCTTCAGGTTTCCCTGGATGTGACTAGTCAAGTGGTACCAGCAGATAACGCCTGGGGAGTACGTGCCTGCAGCCTCTCCGAGGGGTTTCTGCAATGGCCTCCCACGCTGGGGGCACAGCCCCCCTGCCTGCTCCCCGGCCGTCCCTTATCTCCCCAGGCAGACCCACACTCTGACCTCACGTGAAACCAAGCCCTGCGCCTGGGCCGTGGATAAAGAGGTGGACAGGTGATGGGACCCCGGTCTAGCAGCCTCGCTCCTCGCATGGCACAGCTCGCTCCGGCTGCTGGACTTGTCTGCAAGCACTCTGCCAAGTAAGTGATGCAAAATGCTTCTTTTGTTCCTTAAAATGTGCTGGGAGGTGTGGCTCTGAGGTCTCTTGATCATTTCCTTGCAGCAAGGAGTGTGAGAAGCTGCAGTGCTGTGAGCTGGGGCCGTCCCTCCGTGTCCCTGCACTCCTGGGGGTGGGACAAGCAGGGGACCACACTGAGGCCCACCACAGTCAGACGGGGTGAGAGAGGGTTTTAAAAGAGCTCTGCAGTTCAAAACTGTTTGTTTTCATCCCCATGCACTCAGTCCGACCGTTCCCAACTCTGTGTTTAACCCATTGCTGAGGTGCAGCAGGCACTTTCGGACCTGCACCCCTGGCTCCTGCAGCCCCATCTCCCTGGGGAGAGGAGGGGCAGGGATCAGCAGTGGCTTCTGCCCTGGGGAATCCTGCAGAGCAGCTGGCACACAGCTCACTGCCCATCAATTTATTTTCAAACCCAGTGGTTTTCAGCTTGCTGTATTTGCTGACCTCTCAACACTTCTCAAAAAATTAATTCTTCCTAGCAAATTTACCCTCCCACCGTAAGTTTTTTTGCATGGTCAGCTTTTATGGACACCCAAGAAGCAACCCACAGTCCTTTCCCCTGTTCCCACCCAGGGCTGTGAATCACAAGCTGGAAACTATGGTCCCAGTACGATGCCCATGGCCATTAAACACCAGCTAATGTGCTAGCTGAGTGTTTCCACGTGACCTGATGGAAGTGGTGGCCTTTACGTGGCTACTGGTGGGTGTGCATCACTGAGTTCGCTTCCTAACTGCAGTTCAGAGCAGGAATTAAAAGAGTTCCTCTGTGGACATTTCATAGTCTTTTAACAAGCTGTGCTCTAAAGCTTGGTTGCTGCTCACAAGTTAACCATTTCTGTCTGACAGAGCTGCATAACCAAGGCCAAAATATGATGTGATTAGCAAGGAGGAGGTGCTTAGAAGCAATGTTTTAAATGACACCTCCCTGCTACCCCCCACCCCCAAAACACGAAAGACCAAGTCCATCCAGCACAGTGTGGAAATTCTGAGTAAAAAAAGGTCGCCTGGTCTTGGCTTGCTCCTGGGACCCTCTCTGGTTCCTCATTAGCAAGTGCAGGGCTGATTGCTTCTGTTGTTGCCTGAATGGGCTGTTGCCCTGCTGAGCAACTGGAGCCACTGGGGCAGCGCTAATGGGCAGCAGCACTTTGCCCTCTTCACCCAGGCAGATGCCAAGCCCGCAGCCCAGGCGTGGCAGGAGCAGCACCAGGAACAGACTGTCCAGGCTGTCCTGGAGTGTCTGCCAGTGCTGTGCCATGAGCTGCTTGCTCTCCCCTCCTCTACATCCCTTGGTCCCAACAGCAGTGACCTCTTGTAAATGTGGTGTATGTTGCTGTGTACAGTCTCTCTCTCTTTATCATAAAATGAGTTCTGATATGTGCATAGAAGAGTCCCGAGAACTGAATGATAGAGTGGTACCACAGTTCATGAGCTGTGGACACAGACATTTTTTTTGTTCTTCATAACTGATTTTTGAAATATTTTTTTCAGGACAATGTACCAACATTTCCTTCTCCTTTTCTTCCTCTTTTTCCATGCCCATAAATGCCAAGATCAAATCCTGGGTGAAGATCCATATGAAACACCCCAAGACTACCAAGAGGTCTACAGAGGGACCAAAAATGACATCAAAGAGATCCCAAAGACTGCAAAGCCCTTCATTTCTGAGATGATTTTTGTGCAAACCAGCATCACTGCCATAAGGAAAGGTGCCTTCACGTACATGCCCAACCTGATCAAGATTTTGTTTATTGGCAACAAGATCAAGACAGTTGAATCTGGAGCTTTTGACAGCTTGGAGAAGCTGAGGGACTTGGAGATATCTGGTGCCTCGTTAGAAGAACTACCTGTGGGCACTTTCCAAAACCTCCCAAGCTTGCAGAGGCTGGAGCTGAGAGACAGCCACCTCAGATACATCCCCAAAGGCCTGTTTGATGGGCTGGAAAATTTGGGAGAGCTCTCCTTGCACATCAATGCAATCCATTCTCTTCCAGAGGGCGTTTTTGATTCTCTCGTCAATCTAACATTTTTGGACCTGGCTAGAAACAGGATCATGACTGTTCCTGGGAATGCCTTCAGCAAACTCTCCCAGCTGCGAGTCCTCCGGCTGTATGAGAACGAGTTGCAGGACCTCCCAGAGGGGCTGCTGGACAGTCAGCCAGGGCTGCTGGAGCTCAGCCTGCAGAGGAACAGGCTCAAGATGCTGCCACCCATGCTTCTGAGGAACCTGCCTCACCTGGAGAAACTCCTCTTGGACAACAACCTCATCGGAGTTCTCCCAGCTCAGGGCTTTTTTGGTTTAAACAAATTGAAACTGCTGACTCTGGGTTCAAACCACATTACGGAGCTCCCCTGCTGCCTTTTTGACACCATGCCACACCTACGGGAGCTGGACCTGGGCAGGAACAGTTTGGCCACACTTCCAGATGGTGTCTTTGTCAACCTCACATCTCTTGGCAAACTCATCTTGTCCCACAACCAGCTAGCAGCCCTGCCAAGAGGAGCCTTCACTGGGCTCAGCAAGCTCTTGGACCTCCAGCTGGACACAAATCAGCTCTCTGCTCTGGATGATGAGGTCTTTGCTCCTCTCTCAAATCTGAAAACCCTCAACCTTCGGAAGAACCAGCTGGAGAGTGTCCCCCGAGGGCTTCTGGACCCCCTGAAGAAGCTCAGCTCAGTGTATCTGAGTGGGAACCCATGGAGATGTGACTGCAACCTCTGCTACCTGCACAGCTGGATCTTGGGCAACAGCGAGAAGGTCAAATTGTCCACCCAAGTGTCATGCAAGAGTCCACCCCACCTGGCAGGGCAAGCAGTGACATCGCTGAGGGAAGACCACTTAATTTGCCCAGCTACTCTGCCTCTCTCCACTTCTTTTAACCCATCTCTGCCATTCACCTCCACATCATCACGAGGGATGTCAACCTTGCTGTCACCTGGACCCTTGCCCACTGCAGCGCCAACCACATTGTCACTGGCAGCTTTTCCCATCATGGCACTGCCAACTATGCTGTCTCCCATGGCCACCTCTGCCATGTTGCCAACCATGCCAGTGGAGGCCTTCTTCACCACTCCATCACCAACTGTGCCATCTAAGGCCTTTGTCACCGCCTCATCATCAGTTGTGCTGCCAAACACCTTCATCAACACACCATCACCAACTGTGCTGCCCAAGACCTCTACCACCACCCTGTCACCAGTTGTGCTGCCTGATACCTCTATTGCCACCTCATCATCAGCTGTGCTGCCCGAGGCTTCCATCACCACCTCACCACCAGTTGTGCAGCCTGAGACCTCTATTAACACCCCATCACCAACAATGCTGCCCAAGGCTTCCATCACACCCCAACCAGCTGTGTCACAGGAGGCCTTCAGCCAGTGGCCGATTCCAGCCATCATAAGCCTACAGCCTCCTGGGGCCACCAGCCCAGAGCCTGCACTGTCCACTCTAGCTTCTGCCACCACACTGGTGCCAACCAGCACCCTGGCAGCCATCACCAGACAAGTGTCTTCTGCTCTTCTGGTGCCCACAGAGAGGACAGCCACCATCCCATGGGAGACACCCAGAATCTCCCTTGCCTCAGCCCCACGCACAGTGCTCTGGCCATCCCCCAGGGCTCCCGCACCAGGCATGGTCCTGCTGACCTCACGGTCCCCATCCCACCACAGTCCTGCAGCAGGCAGGGAGCGGCACCATGCCACTGTGTGGTTCTTGTCCACGGTTGGCACCCAGCCTGCTCCCACTGCCCCCCAAGATGCTACCACCCTCACAGGCACCACCCTGCTCCATACGCTGTCAGACCATATGAGCCCCTGGCCGGCCTCCCTGCATCTGGCCCCCAGAAGCCGTCACGCTTGGGGCTTTGCCCTTCGGTCCAATCCATGGCACTGCCAGGTGTCCCTGGCGCTGGGCCTGGCCGCGCTGGTGCTGCAGGTGGGCTGCATGCTTCTCTGGGGGATGCTTGCCTTCCTCCTCCACCGAGCCACTCACCACCTCGGCCATCCCATGCCACCGGTGAGGCTGCTGAGTCTCCAAGCCCTGGCTGCCCCTGGTCCCCCCGAGCAAGCCCGGGCACCACTCTGAGCTTTGCTGCCCCTGCGTGACCTGGGCAAAGCCCATCGTCCTCTTTTGGGTTCTAGAACCGTGCTGGCTGTGGGGTGCATATGTCATGGGGTGCGGGCCATCCCCCAGGGGTGCGTGTCCCAGCACCCAGGCTGTTTTGAGGTGCCTCCCAGCTGGCCCTTGAGATGCTGTGAGCTTGGGGAGCCTGTGCACGGTGTCACTGTCTGACGAGTCCTTCTGCCAAGCGACACTAGATGGCATCCTGACACAGGCAGTGGCTGCCACCGCCTGCCTAGGGCCACCGGGAGCAGAGAGGGAGACCAGTGGCTCTGGAGGCACCGCACCAAAATCTGGAGGCCCCGCACCCAGCCGGTTGGGGACCTCGCTGGATCTCGGACACGACCCACTCTTGCTTGCAGGGCAGCAGGGTGGTCGGGACTCCTGCCTGCATCCCCCCCCATCCCCAGCAGGTACCTGCAGGGTACAAGCAGTCCTTCGGGAGGGGCACCCCAAGGCTTCCTGCTCTGTGCCCTGGCTTCTTCCCTGTACTGAGTTACGGGATGTGTCAGCACTGGTACATCCATCGTAATGCTCTGACCTCTTCCCCTCTCTTTCGCTGTTTCCTCCTCACTGATATTAAAGCCTCCCCTGCATCTCTTCCATGCACTAAAGGGCTGGCGAGAGCTGTATTTTCATCCCAGGGCTTTTCTCACTGTCACCTGCTGCGGGGAATTCCTGTTGCTTGCTGGGGTGTGGGGTCCTCAGTCAGTGTCAGCCACCAGAGACTGGTGTAGGACCAGGGTTGCACGCTGTCCTGCAGGCAGCGGCATAGTGAGACAATAGATGTGCTTTTCCTCCTCCTCTTAAATCTTGTGCCCCCAAAACCTCTGTGATGCTTCCTGCCCTGGCCTCTCGGGAAGACCAGTGCTTGAGCATGGCCAGCCATGTGGTTCTCACACCATAAATTCATCTGATGCTGAGGGAGGGAAGATGCTGTGTTCCACAGGAGGGAAGGGGCTAAGAGGCGAGTGGGATGCAGGAGGTGACGTCCCTGGGCAAACTGAAGGGAAGATGCTTGGGTTTCCTGGTTGCTGACTGCAGGCTGGGCCGATCCTCTTTGGAAGTTTGTGAGGAAGGGAATAACTCCTCTCGTCACTGAAGGGTTGATGCACACCCTCACCTCTGCAGTCATGGGTTGCTGCCAGGGCCAGGAAAGTGCCAAACTTAAACAAAAGTGGATGGTTTTGTGGCTTTTCTGGAAGTGGTGAAACTTTCACTGGAAAGCTTTAGCCCAGGAGATTTTTGAACCGATGACGACAGGGGTTGTTGAACGGTTTGGGACTTTAGGTACCTTATTTTGCTCTAGGCTTAGTGCTGACTTTACCCTGGCGAGCTGCTCTCAAATTTAATCACCTAGTTACTACAGGGTTGCAGGTGTCTGTCTTCAACTCCTCGCCTTTGCCGCCAGCGCATGCTCCATCCTGCCCTGCCTTTGAGTGCCCTTCCCCAGAGGGGGCTGCCTGGATTTGGGGGGAGAACCCCTGAAAATTGGTAGTCTGGACATGTGCTGGGCAAAGAGCTGTGGGGATGTGGCTCAGAAACCTGGTTGGGGAGCCCTCAGTCCATCTCCCCTGCCTGGTCCAAGACCAAGGGAGGGGGGAAAAGGGGCTTTGCATCAGGGTATGTGCCTGCAGCTGTACATTAGGGACCTGGATATATGTCTTTGCTAAGAGCCTGTACAGTGTTACAGGCCCTTCGGCTGCTCCTTGAAGTCCCGCTGTCGGCTGTGAAATAGGGGAGGTGAGTGTGGGGCAGCACATCTGGGAGGGATGGAGCAAGCGGCTCCGGGGCTGGCACGAGGGTAATGAGAGGCAGATGAGGGGTGCGAGTGTTTTTCCTGGCAGTCCAGATGGGCTCAACTTAATACTTGATTTAGAGGGTTTGAAAGTGGGGCCTGGCTGCTGGGGAACAGACCCTGAGCACTTCCCGGGGCAGCAAGGGGGGGTCTCTGCTGGTTTTTCTGATATTTAATGGCCCAGCGCAGTCTAAACAGGGAAGTACTTCGGGGTGAGATTAGCACAACATAATCACATCTTAAAAGGTCTTCAGAGACACAAAGCACGTCCGCTCTCATATTAATTACTTGTTATTAATAAAGCTGAGGTCAGGCTTAGAGGTGTTCGCTCCGGAGCATGCTGATTCCCTCTTTGCAGAGCGGTGGTGTACCCAAAAGCGGCACAAAGCCCCGCAGCCTCCACCTGCGCCCATCCCGCTCCGGAAACCAAACGGCCAACATTCCTACAGCCGCCTTTAAAACTAATTTGCCCCATAATACCCCGAAAGGACCACGTCTTTCTAAGTGCCCAGAACACCACTGAGTGCTGTAAAATAATAATAGCCAGGGTGTTCGCAGCACAGGAATTTCCTTACTATGATTGATTTCTAATTTGCAGTAAAAATACAGCCACCCCATGTTCCTGGGGCCAGGCTGGTGCAGCTGGCTCACAGGCAGGAGTCAGCTCCCTCCATCACAGTAGGGCTGATCCCTGGAGGGCTACAACTGTGCTGGGCTGGGAGGAATTAGCAAGTGTTCCTGTTTGCCCCCCCCTTGCTGCAACGTCCCCCGGAGGGAAGGGGCTGAGAGGTGGGTGGGATGCAAGGTGTCATTGATGATTTTTTAATTCGTTCATTTCTCTGGTTTCTCTGAACTCAGGTAAGAATTTAGCACCCGTGGTACCCTGTAACGAGGCAGCACCTCCCTTTGCTCTCCCCCTGCCCACCACTCCTTGCACAGGATGCCCCCAGTTCTTGCATTGGGAGAAAAAAAGGTGAGCATCCCTGTGTGGCGTCTCCAGGCTGCTTGTGGCACTATAAACCTCTTCCCAGCTGCCATGACTGCCTGAGGACCTCTTAGTTAGCCTCAGGTGACAACCAGATAGAAGCAGAGACAGGATACTGTGTGTGCGTGTCCTTGAGCGGCGCTGGGACCACTTCACATGGCCCGGGAGTCCCACTGCCACTGCTGGCTCTCTTCCTGCCCCGTGCAGACAAGACGTGGTTCCCACAGCCCTGTCACTTGTGATGTACCAACCTGTAATCTCTCTGCCTGTCAGCCCTGCCGGGAGCCCCTGCATTGCAGGTGTGGTGGCCCATCCCTGCCACCTGCCTCCAGTCCCCATCCTGCCCCTGGGGCATCCCACGGGCAGGAAGGGGGCTCATGAGTGACAGCCCTTTCTTGTGGCTGGCGGGAAGGGGGTGCAGCGAACACCTGCATGGGGGGATTTGCACAATAACCCGGGCAGGGAGCAAGCCTGGGCCTCTGGTGGGCAAGTCCTGCTGCTGGCTGGCTGCTGGGAACCTGCCCTAGCCCATGGCCATGCAGCCACAGCTTCCTCCCTGGGCACCCGCCTCGTGTGCCAGCCCCAAACACGTGCTGTGGCTGCGCCGTGGCTGTGCTGTAGCTGTGCCAAAAGCGGTGTCTCACGGCTGCTTGGTGTGGTTTGAGCCCCCACGTCTCTCATGACTGCCTGCCCCAGTGGGGTGGGAGCTAGGTCTGGCTGCTGCCTGTGCTGCAAGCAGGGTGAGAAGGTGCTGGTTGGGCTCCAGGTCCTGTAGGAGCAGGGAGGTGCTAGCAGTGCCTCCTGGAGAGGTTGGACAGTTGATACGGGACCTGCAGGGTAAAGACCTGAGCTGGGGCAGCACAGGCAGCTGCGGCTGCTGGGATCAGCCTAAGGACTGGCCGGGCAGGCATGTCTGGCACCCATCCATCCTCTACTGCGCTCAGCAGAGCTGACCGTGGGTTGGCAGTCACAACTCCGTGTTGCTGCTGTGCCCCCTTGATGCTGGTGATGATTTTGAACCCCAGCACCACTCTGGATGGTCTGTCTCTCCCTCTCCATCCTTCACCCTTAGCGTCCCACCTCATGCACGCTCATGGCACCCATCCAGGCTGCTCCTGGACAAGGAGCCCGGGAGCTGAACTGGGACATTAATTTGTCTGCTTTCACCTTGGCATCTCCCAACCTTCCTGCAA